TTTTAAAATATCATCTTTCTCCAAAGAGTCCATTGCGCATTTCTTAAGAGCAGAGATAGGGAACCTCCCAGGCAGTCACAAGGGCATTTTATTGCCCTCGATGCTGATTTTTACTGCGTGTGCAGATCTGCTTTTTTTCCTGATGTCTGTGAACTTTCTCATCTGTTTATCCAGTCGACTGATACCCTTCTTGGAGGTCCCCTGAAACTAAGAGTGGGGTAAAAATTAAAGAGCAAATTATTGAAACACATACACTTAGTTTTGTCTTTCGTCTTCTTTTATCTGAAAGTCAGCAGACAGAAGAGCTCCCAGCTCTGGAATAACCAGAATAAGCTTTGGTGACCTCAGGAACAGAGCAAGTATACACAGCAGTGTTAGAAAAGCATATTAAACTCTCTCAATGGAGAATAATTTTGTTCTTATCTGTGCCTTACTTTCAAATTTTGCCTCTAGTGCACGGAAATTTGCTAGAAGAGAGAAAGGGGGGTTAAAACTGAAACTACAATCCCCCTAATTCCATCAGATTACATTTTGACTGTATGCTTCTCCCTTTCAAAGACCAAATGTGGAGGGGACCGCTTGACACATACACCTTCAAACAGTGCTGGCATAAAAAATAATGATCTTCTAAGGCAAGGAAAGTCATCGAGAAAAAGCCTGAAGCATAATGAATGAGGTTAGAACCGCTAGGTGCTTGCTGGAACTCTAGTTTCCGATTAGAAACTAGTCAGGGTTCTGTAACCCTGTACAAATGATGCCCCTTGTGTGAACTACTTCCAGGACTGCTGGGAGAAGTGAATAAGATAATAATAACAAATACAAGCACAGAGGCTAGCACAGAATCGGCGCTCAAAACAAAAGCAGCTATTATTGCTATTACTACTACTTTGCAATCAATTAGTTTGACACAAAAAGAAAAGTAAATTAATTCTCTTGAACCAAGGGGCTTATACTTCTTGCATCTCTTTCTGCTTGCCCTTTATGTTTAAGGGCAATTTAAAGAAATTGACACCTTTTAGAAATGTTGAAAAGGCCTGCCATTTATGTCAGATCAGGGCAAACTCTTCTTGCTGGCTACAGTAATCTAACAATTCCAATCTTTACGACTGTCGAGTGGTTAAAAAAGATGGGATTTTCTAATTCTTCTCCCCAGATGTTTACTACTGAATCACCTGTGAAGCTCAATTCAAAGAATGCTAAAATAAGGTGGAGACTAGGAGACACTCTAGGGTCGGTACCAGTGTGGTGAAGTTCTTTTGAGTTGGGGAGACCTCCCCCAAGCCTTATCTCACCTCTCGACTCGTCTTCCACCTCAGTTATAAGCAAAGACCTCTAAGTCATTCTTGAACAAGAGCTGCATTGATCATCCATCCTAGATTTTCTACATACATCCAATTCCAAATATTATTTTATATCAATTTTAATCCTGGGCACTAGTACTCTAAGGGAGCATAAAAATTCATTATCAGATGAGAAAGTTATGCGACTATCACCCTATGCATGCAATACCCCAGATTTCTAGACAGTCCCAAATATCTGACTTCCTTTCAGACAATGTGCCCTGATTTTTAGTAGCTGCAATCAGTCCACAACGGAAGCCTTAGCTGCTCAGATCTCTGCTAACTCCCAGCAGCTCTACCCCTCAGCCTGGACTTCTCCTTGTCCACTCCCAGGACCTTCTCTAATAATTTGACCCTCCAGCCTCAGCAACTGGGACATGCCCAGGCTGCACTGATCTACTCCTAGTTACAGCTTGTATGACTTGTATCTGGCAGATGCCTGGTTACCCCAAGCCTGAAAACACACAGAACTGAGTGCCTAGCCTGTCAAACTCAATGACTTCTCTCTTGATGTGTCAACCCTACACCACTTCCTTAGGACAGTAAAGCTGTATGCTGCACTGCTTTATCAGTGGAAAACCAAAAGTAGCCTAAAAGATTAGCAAGATGGGTTTGCTTAAAAAAATATGGTACAATCATATTACAACACAATATTAAGTCACTGAAGGATGTTAACTCAAATGAATTATTACCATGTTTAGTAAAACACAAACCCAACAAGGTATAAATGAGTATGATCACAATTTTGATTAAAAGTTAAAAAACAAAAACAAAAAAACACCACCACCTCCAACAAAACCCTCTCCAAACCAGTAAAAATGTTTATGTACACATATATAAAGGACTGGAAAGAAACAACCCAAAATGTTAATATTAAGGTGCGGGGGGATTACAAGTGACATTAATTTTATTTGTGCTTTTCGTATTTAAAAGTTTATATAAAAACATGCACTGCTTGTGCCATTTTAATGTTATTTTAAAAGCATTCCATGGAAAAAATTAGCATATAAACATACAATGTAGCACAAGTTACTGCATTATTTAGAAGCGAAAAATCAGAAACCATAGAGGAATGAATAAACAAATTATATATTCACATGATAGACTATTATGCAGCCATTACAAATGATAACTCTATAAGGCGGTTTAATGAGAAGTGATCAAAATTCTATACAATATAATTTTAATTATATTAAAGTATCAATAGAAAACAAGGCAAAAATTTTATCAAATTGCTTTTGAGTGGTGAGTGATTTTTCTCTTTATAATCTCAAAATTTTCTACAATTGTAAGCAGAAAAAACTAAGTTTAAAGCATTACTGAAAATACATGTAACACATCAAAATTGTTAACAGTGGTGACTTACACAGAGGAAGAGCAGGACTTGGGGAGTGGGGTTTATTCTCTAGTATATTTACTCTCGTAATTTCAAAAATAAAAATTACATTTAAAACAAAAAGGGTTTCATTTGAAAGCCATTTACTCACTCCAATTTTCTTCTTGGGAAACATGTTTTCTAGTAACACTCATTAGTGTCTGTGCAATGTGAAAGCCTTGAGTGCATATGTAAGGAAACTTCTTGAACAGGAAAACAGTGTCAGGTGGTTTAAGGACAATTTACTGAAATGTAACATGGGACTACCAGCCCCCAAAACATGCCTTATTATTATTTTTCTTTTGTTGACAGAGCTCTGTAAGCCAGACACAGGCCAAGATAAATACCCGACCGTTCTGATCTGGGGAATGTTGGGGATGAAGGAGAAGAACTCTGCTTAAATTCCCCTCTCATCACGCTGGCCACCTCTTGCTCTAGCAACAGGCTGGGCCACCTCTGCCCACCTCCCCATCACCTACAGGGAGGGTGGGATCAGAACCAGCAACACCAGCAGACAGGCACATGCCCTTCCAAAGAAGACTGGCCACTAGGATTTTTTATTACGTTTTTCACTGCCCTATTATAGTTCTTGATTCTCAAAATAGTGTGCTGGGGTAGAAAATGTATTACGAAAGAGAGGAATAAAAGGATGGAAGAGACAGTGAGAAAAGTAAAGGTAAAGACAAACAGGGGTGGTGGGGGGGAAGGAGGGATATCAAGGGACATGGAAATGGAAAGAAGAAAAAAGGGAGGAAGGGGACTTCCCTAGTGGCCTAGTGGTTAGGATTTCATGTTTTTCACTGCCGTGGCCCGGGGTTCAATCCCTGGTCAGGGAACTGAGATCCCGCAAGCCCTGAGGTGTGGCCTAAAAAAGGGCGGGGTGGGAAGAAAAAAGGGAAGGAAGTAGAGGTGAAGAAATTCTTAGCACTGAACCAGTGCTTTTCTACCCTTTATTTATTCTCATTAAGTAAGACTGTGTGCTTTGTTTTGATAGTAGCTTAACAACAAAGTGAAACGGCAGGCAGGTGAGTGTGTCTGTGGAAACAGCTGCCAAAGCAGGGGTCGCGGAGGAGTCACAAAAGGAAGGCAACACACTCAGACAGATGCTCAGGAGGGCACTGCCGCAGAGGCGCCACCGCTAACCTCCGAGCACAGCAGGTCAGTGAGTCTGGCTTTATGAATGTTTCAACGTCGTCTTCATTTCCGACCATGAACTGAATATGTATTAATTAAATTTATCTCCTAAATATTCAGTGTCAGGCTTTACGCAGTGAGCCCTCAAATGCAGTTTCTGAGCCACTGACAACAGGAAAAGAAGCCACCTCCCTTTCACCAAGACGTTACTAACCAATTACATGCCTGTAAGGGAGACCACTCGGATTCTAGGCCCTAACAAAAACCTTTTTAATAAAAAGGGTACCAGTCAGAAAGACCAAAATGCCTAGCCGTGAGGTAATTATCTATTAGTCTCTAGGAAGGGAATCCCGTATCAATTTCTCAGTATTCAAGAGGACTAGAATGTCACTAAGTGCCTGTTGGGGTCATTATTTCATGAACTAAAAGTGGTCCTGGCCTTTTCTGGTTAAGAAAGCACACACACACTGTTTTCACTCTAGCTGCTGACAACTCAAGCCCATGCACAGAGCATGCTTCCTTGGGGATACCTCCCGGACACGCTCTGGTAGGGCCAGGCCTACAGGGGCATCCTGTTGCCTTCAATGCTGAACTTGACAGCACGGTGCACTTTGCTGAGTCGTTTCTGTTCTGCAAATCGCCTCTTATGCTTTTCCAATCGGCTTAGGCCCTTTTTAAGAATACCAGGCTAGAAAGAGTAGTTTGAACGGAGAATAAAAAAAGATTACTGAGAAGCAATAAGGATCACCGAATAGTATTTACAGTGACGGCAGAAGTGTCTACCCTAATAAACACTTCACAACAGAATTACTTAAAACAGCTGAATAGAAAGGGAGGGGTAGGTTGCAGAAGCAGGTGAGTTTTGTTTCTTAGGGTCTTAAAAAAAAACGACTGTACCAAAACACTCTAGGCTTCAAGATTCAGTTGAAATAAAGGGATTAATAAGAGGAAACTTCCCAACTTGATAATGTTTCTTTAAGTCTGAAGTAAACCTCATCAGCAATAAGTGATCTGGCTAGATAAGTGACCAGAAAATAGCTCTCGTCAAATCAGATAAACCTTAAGAGCTGTTAAGGGTTATTGAACACGAAGTAAAAGACGAACAGTAATCTGCATTTCAGATCCACCTTGCTGTCCCCCTGCTTGCTTACCCTGGACGACTCCATTTCCACATTCCACTTGGGCCTGACAACATAGTCCTTGTTCGAGGGCATGGGGACCCTTGCCCGGGCACAGAATCCAGGATCTCCAGGTCTAAGAGCCCTGAGAACGGGAAGAAGAGCATGCTGCTTACGTAGCCCACCACACCCGGGTCCATCCCATTCGGCTGCATATCTGTGTCAAACCTCCTCTGCCCTCCTGAAGTCACCCGCTCCAGCATCCTGCTGTCTGTCTTAGATGGCCTCATCATCACTCACACTGCTGTACCAATGGCTCAACTTCCCCCTCAAAGCCAATTTCCTCTGCATTTTCAGGACTCCTTTTCACCTCTCCTCAGCTTCAGATATAATCGCATCTCTCCTTTCTAAGGCTGGTTCCTCCATCAGGACTCTGAATCTCAATTTCTCTGGTCTAATAGAGTCACTCATGTGTTCACTTGTGAGGTGAAAAACCAGGGAGTCAAAATGACCCCCCGGACTGAGTATGCCCATAAAGCAGTTGACATGGTTTTGCATATGCAACTCATACAGTAATTTTTTGGTCTGTTTCTTGTTTTTAAAAAAGTTTGAGATAATTATAGATTCACATGCAGTTGCAAGAATTAATGCAGAGAGATCCAGTGTCTCTCCCAAAGGTAACAACATGCAAAAACTATAGTACAATATTACAACCAGGATATTGATGTTGCTATAATCCATCAATTTTTATTTACATTTCCCCAGTTTTACATGCACTCATTTATCTGTGTGTGTGTGTATTTAGTTCTATGCAATTTTATCATGTGTGTAAGTTCGTGTATCCACCACAGGATCCCTCCTATTGCCCTTTAGTAAACATGTCCACCCCTACTCCATTTGCCCAGTCCCTAGCCCCTGGTGACCATGAATCTACTAATTTCTGTAATGCTGGCATTTGAAGAATGTCATATAAATGGAATAATACACCATGTAACGTTTAAAAATTGGCTTTATCCACTCAACGTAATGCCCTTGAGGATCCAACCAAGTTGTTACATCTATCAATATTTTGTTCCATTTAATTGCTGAGCAGTACTCTATGGTATGAATATACCATGGTCTGTTGAACCATTCACTTGCTGAAGGACATCTGGGTTGTTTCCAGTTGTGGACTATTATGAATAAAGCTGTACTACTAATGGACAGGTTTTTGCACAAACATAAGTTTTCATTTCTCGGGGATAAATGCCTAAGAATCTTGTGCAAGTGCTGGGTTGTACGGTGGTTGCATGTCCAACCTTACAAGAAACTGCCGAACTATTTTCCAGGGCAGCTGTACCATTTCACCCCGCAGCAATGGATGAATGATCTAGTTTCTCTGCATCCTTGCCAGCACTGGATGGCATCACATACAGTAACTTTTATGTACAAATTTGAGAACTATCGTGCTAGACTAACCTAAGGCTATCATCCTTCAAAAGTAAAGCCTATTTGATGTCTGGGAATTCGAATCATTCAACCTTCAGGTAACTAACCACCTCAGTGGTAAACGGAGGGTGGGTATTTGCGGGGGTGGGGGACGAAGAGGAAGAGAAGGCTAAAAAATTCTGAATTTGTTTCTATTCCCTTGTATGGTTTACTCCATTCTTAGTATCAAGCTTCTGTAACTTTCATATACATTAACTGACTAGAAAATCTCCCACAACTCTTATTTTTCCCCTGAAGCCACTGTCAGCACACCTGTCCACGAGCAAACGACACTTGCTCCCTCTAGCTCATTTCTCGTTCTCCTTTTGCGATCTGGGTGCTGCCTGATTGCCAGCCCTCACTGCACAAACCCCCGTGAAGCCTACCCCCACGGCCCTCTCCAGCGTGGCCTCATTCTCCTCTGGGTTCTCCTCCAACGTGTAGGACCACATCTGCTCACTGGCCTTCACTGGCTACACCCCTTTTCAAAGGGTTCAGTTTATTTCTTACTCTATACTCTCTTTTTTTTTTTTTGCGGTACGCGGGCCTCTCACTGCTGTGGCCTCTCCCGTTGCGGAGCACAGGCTCCAGACGCGCAGGCTCAGCAGCCATGGCTCACAGGCCCAGCCGCTCCGCGGCATGTGGGATCTTCCCGGACCGGGGCACGAACCCACGTCCCCTGCATCGGCAGGCGGACTCTCAACCACTGCGCCACCAGGGAAGCCCTCTCTGTACTCTCTTGAGTCAACAATCTTTTCTACGGAGGTAACTATCAAATCTATGTCTCTAGCCCAAATTCCAGTTCTAAGCACAGGATAATTATAGGACTATCTCAGTCACCTTACATTTAATATGCTCAAAACAGACGTCATCTATGTTTTCACGTCTACTCCTCCTCTCCACTCTAGTGAAGGGTAATACCATCATCTCAGTCGCTTAAGTTTAAAATTCTGGGTGGTATCTTCAACTCTAGCCAACTTCTCGCCCACCCAGCCAGACTCCTGGCAGTTGCACACCTGCGAGGGCTCCTTATCCTTCTGCTTCTCCGTTACAGTCTCAGTTTAGCTGTATCACTGCCTTCAGTTCCTCTGCCCTGCAACCCATCCTACATCGTGCTACCAGCAGAAGCATTCCAAATCAATCTGACGACTTCACGTCCATGCTCAAAAACTTTCTAGGAAACCACAAAGAGAAGTGAGAATTCCTCATCTTGACTTAAAGCACTTCAGAATTTGGTCAACAACTGCATTTCCAACCTTATCTTCCACCACCTCAGGCACCATTCTACTGCCCGACTACTTGCCATCCCTAAAACAGGCCTTGCGTGCTTACCCCACATCTTTGCTTAAGCTCTCCCCTTTGCCTACAATCCCTCTGAAGACTTTCTGAGAGAATGAACTACTTTTACTTTGATTCTGTATTTTCAGAGTTTACCAGAGAGTCCAGCACATAGCAAGCAGCAACAAAACCTTTACCGAATGAACTATTTCTCAATATTCTTGTAACCTCCAGGGTACCCACAGAATGTGAATATTCAATAAATACTACACTAGGAATCATCCCCTGCCAATGTGAACAGAGCATCATTTCATTTGCTATTTTTCTTAAAACAAAGCAGCAAGCAGAACATTCCCAATACAGTCTACATTGAAAATCAATACAAAAATCTTACTTTTCCTCCCCTGTCAGCACCTTTTCCAAATCTCTTCGGGGTGTCTGACCACCAGTGCTGGGAAAAAAGTAATTAATGAGTTATTAGGAAATGTCAGGACCTTATAACTAAGGAAAAAAGAGCAAAATGAAATATCAAACTTAGACCACCATTAGGTCCTTTACACTGGATCAGGGAAAATAATTCCTAATATTGTATTATAAAAGTACTACTTATTTTAATGATCATTTGCACACCAGGTTTCACTCACCTGTAATGACCCTGCCATCTTGGATGCAACTACATCCAGTTTATTGATACAAATCGAAAATTTTTTTTTCTCTTAAGGATCTGGAAATGGGACTGAGAAAGTTTTTTCTGCAAGAGGCTGAAACAACCTAAGCAACCTCCAGAACGGTGGCAGAGGCCAGATCCAACCAGAAAAGCCTGGGAGGGGCTTTTACAGTGAAGTGGAGCTTCACTGTACACTACCACATTTAAACTAAAAAGTATCATGAACTACAAGACATATCAAGCAGAGGAAAGACAAAATCCTACCATCTTGTAGGTTTCTTAATGATCTTAATTACCAACCCCCGCCCTGAGTTAGAGCAACAATAACGTTTACTCCACTTACTCATACCTGTTCCCTCCTACCTGTTCATTCTTCGCCGTTGAGGCATCTGTTCTAGGTCTCTCTGCTCCCTTTCTTCTCTTGTCATTCCTTTGTAGTTTGAGGTAAGACCAAATATAGGCCGAGACCATTCATCTACAACAGAGAAAAATTAATTATTTAGCCCATAAAGTAGCATTTCTACTACCATTCTTTGAAATAATCATACCCTAGTGTAAAGTCATATTCTAGGCATTAAGAACATTCTTTCCTTAAAGATAACATTATTTCAGGACCATTTGTAGAATAAACACAGCATGATACCAGCATCACAACTAGCTCCAGCTGATTCAGAAAATTCAATATAAAAAGATCACTTAAACCTGTAGTCACCACAGAGGCTTAAAGAAAGTAACATCTAACTCACTTTGAAGGTCATCAACTAGCTGTGTTATTTCATAAAGACAGTTTAATTTCTAAATTTAGTCTCTTGAAAACAGAAAATCTTTTGTTTTTTTTTTAATTGAAGTATGGTTGATTTACAATATTTAATTTCAGGTGTACAGCATAGTGATTTTTTTTTTTTTTTTTTTTTGCGGTATGCGGGCCTCTCACTGTTGTGGCCTCTCCCGTTGCGGAGCACAGGCTCTGGACGCGCAGGCTCAGCGGCCACGGCTCACGAGCCCAGCCGCTCCGCGGCATGTGGGATCTTCCCGGACCGGGGCACGAACCCGTGTCCCCTGCATCGGCAGGCGGACTCTCAACCACTGCGCCACCAGGGAAGCCCGTGACTCTTTTTTTGGCAGATGCTTTTTCCATTATAGGTTATTATCCCCTGTGCTATACAGTGTATCTTTATTTCTTATCTATTTCACGTATAATATTTTGTATCTGCTAATCCCATACTCCTAATTTGTTCCTCCCCGCTTCTCTCTCCCCTTTGATAACCATAAGTTTGTTTTCTATGTCTGTATGTCTGTTTCTGTTTTGTATACAGATTCATTTGTATTATTTTCTAGATTCCACATATAAGTGATATCATATAGTTCTTGTCTTTGTCTGACAAATACTATATGATATCACTTATATGTGGAATATGTATTTCACTAAGCACAATATTCTCTAGGTCCATCCATGTTGCTGCAAATGGCAATATTTCATTCTTTTTTATGGCTCAGTAGTATTCCATTGTATATATGTACCACATCTTATTAAGCCAACTGTCTGTTGATGGGCATTTGGATTGCTTCCATGTCTTGGCTATCATAAATAATGCTGCTATGAACACTGGGATACATGTACCTTTTTGAATTAGAGTTTTCATTTTTTTTCTGTATATATATCCAGGAGTGGAATTGCTGGATAGTATGAAAGTTCCACTTTTAGTTTTTTAAGGAACTTCCGTATTGTTTTCCATAGTGGCTGCACCAATTTACATTCCCACCAATGATGTAGAAGGGTTCCCTTTTCTCCACACCCTCTCCAGCATTTATTAGTTGCAGACTTATTGATGATGGCCATTCTGACTGGTGTGAGGTGATACCTCACTGTGGTTTTGATTTTCATTTCTCTCATAATTAGCAATGTTGAGCATCTTTTCATGTGCCTGTTGGCCATCTGAATATCTTCTTTGGAGAAATGTCTATTTAGGTCCTCTGCCCATTTTTTTAATGGTTTTTTTTTTTGATATTGAATTGCATGAGCTGTTTGTATATTTTGGATATTAACCCCTTGTTGGTCACATCATTTACAAATACTGAAAACAGAAAATCTTGAAATTCCTCTACTTTCTTACTCTAACCAAAAACAGCTCCCTTATTACTTGTCAAAATGGTCTAAATCTTTAAAAATTACATTTTGATAGTGCAGATGTAGGGTCTCTACTTCATTAAGTCTAAGAAAGCTGCTAAGGTGATCACACAAAAAAGTACTACATGTGCACTGTTTAGCCAGTAAAAGTCCAAAGGTGCCAGCTGATGTCTTTGTTCTTATCACTGCATTGTATCAAAACAAGAAAGGACCTTTACAGACAGAACACAGGTGTTGTCAAACTAAGAAGGAAGCAAGGAGTCTCAGGGGAGTCTATATCTCTTTAAAAACTGACCCGCTGTCCCCAACCCTGGATTCAGAATCACCTGTAGTACATGACAGGTACCAGTGGGAACAGTTTGCTTCTCTCTTGCCTAGGGCAAAAAGAACGTCGAGAACCACTGCATCAAAGCATCAAATGCTTATTGTTTAATAGGCAATAAACTACAGATTATTAATAAGATCGAAGATATAATACTTCTCTAGTTTATAAAAAAAATTAAATTTCTCGAAAGGTTTTTGATAGTTTAAACATTCAACAGATAAATAACTACTGTATTCAGATACAAAAGTAGTTACTATTTCAAATTAGTGTTGAAGTTTAAAAATTTCTTTCCAACACAAAGCACAGGAAGAGTTAAGGAGGATGATGAAGACGCATGTGGTGTTCATAAACAATATGGCAACTGAGTAAATGAACTTCAGTTAGATTCCTCTGGATTTCGCTGTTATCATTAAGTAATAACACACAAAGGCTTTGGAGACCATTATAAAAATAACAACAGTAGCAGCAGTGGCTAACATTTCTTGAAGACTTACTGTATTCTAGGTACCATGCTTTACATACACCTTCTCACTTATTCTTTAAGACAACCCAAACTAAACACATAATTCTCTGTTTCACAGAGGAGGAAACCAAGGCTTAGAGCTTAAATCACTAGCCCAAGGATATGTAGTAAGGTAGGTGGTAAATCTAGGATTTGAACCCAGGTATGACCGACTCCAGGGCCGACATTCTAATCCCTCTCTCTCTACATGCTCCTGATCCATGATTAGAAAATGCATCATTTTACTTGTTATATACTGGATAGCATACTTAAATATACTGAGAAGCATTTTAAGTCTAAGGGAAAAAAGCTTAGTACCTACAAGAAGGTATCAAAAAATTTTCCTACTCCATTTCATTGACTCATTTTAAATGAAAATCGGTAAAAATATAGTTAGCTTTTATATATACACGTCTCTGTATATACATAAACACACCAAACAAAAAGTAAAATGTACATACTGATTAATTTCCCTGCCATGTCCTTGTTGGACCTTGATTCCTTGGGGTGTTTATACAGATACATCACTGCTCGTCCAATCCCACTATGCTTCAGGGTCTCCTGGCTCACACTAGGTAGCTGGGGAACATAAACACAGACATACATATTAATCATTCTGAAGCTGGGAGTCCTGCCAATCTACTCTAGCGGGCCTGCAAGACCTGGTTCATTCACAACAGAACAAATAACAAAAAAGTTAGATTTTCAAGGATCTATGGACACTGAACACAAAGACACTTTGTGTTTACATCAGTACTTGAGAGTTCAGTACTACCACTGAGTTGAAGTAAAACTTAACAGTGTGAGAAAGTGTGAACTAAGCATCCTCAGAGGTTAGCAGCTTAATAAATCAAGGGTCCTCTCAGGCCTCTGAACCAAACAGACCTAAGTCTGAACCCAACCACAGCCATCTGCTAGCTATGTGACCTTGGACAAGACGTTTAACTTCTCTGAGTCTTAATTTCCTCATCTGTAAAATGGAGATAATACACCTACCTTGCAGGTTTGTTGTGAGGAATAAATGAACCTATATATTTAAAAAACACCTGGCACGTAGCAGGTTCCTCGGGAATTCCTTCAGAAGTTAAGTAGCTTGCCCAAGGTGTCTCAGCCACATAAAGGTGGCCCAGATCAAGATTCAAATGCATGCTTATCTGATGCTGAAGCTGGTGCTCCTTCTACTTCAAGTGCCTCCTTACAACATGTCCACTACTATACTACTCTTCTCAGATAAACCAGAGCTACTCCAAGATCTTTTTTCCTTCAATACCACAGTCACATGAAGTTTTAAAAGGCCTTCCTTTTTTTTTTTCTTGTGGTACACGGGCCTCTCACTGTTGTGGCCTCTCCCGTTGCGGAGCACAGGCTCTGGATGCCCAGGCTCAGCGGCCATGGCTCACGGGCCCAGCCGCTCCGCGGCATGTGGGATCTTCCCGGACCGGGGCACAAACCCGTGTCCCCTGCATTGGCAGGCGGACTCTCAACCACTGCGCCACCAGGGAAGCCCAAAGGCCTTCCTTTTATGCTCATTTTATTTGGTATGTTCCTAATAAACACACCTAATAAAACTCCTCTTCTGATAGGCTGTGGCAGAGAGAATATACAAATATATGGCAAAATACAGAGGTTATGATAATACAAACCACAGTAGATAACTAATGAAGAGCAAACAAGTCAGATTATCTGCCTCTGACCTCTTGCAGAATCTTCAACAGCTCTTCTCGAATCTTTAGTGCCGGCAAACTCCTATCTGGTAGAGGGGAGAGCCATTCTTTGATGGCAGACATCACACCACTGTCAATAAATGTTTCTTTAAGGTCCTGCCTGTAATAAGAGGAAGAATTAAAAAAAAAAAAAAGTCAAGTCTATGAATGTTGATTCTATTGTAGCTTCCTTTGGATTTTCTTACAGATATAGTGATGTTTCCAAAAACTGCTTTTAAAAACTGACTCATATACATTATTTACTGAGCACCTATTCATAGACTTCAACAGCCAATATGAAATTTAGTTCCTATTTTCAAGAAACAAACAGACTTGATAGGTAAAGATGATGTGTTAAAGGAAAAAAACCCACCAAATTGCAAAAGGTAATGCTGATATGAATGGTACAGACTGTAAGAATAATGAGTTTTAATTATTACAGCTAAGAAAAAAAAATGTTTTATCTATGAGAATAGTGATCCTCAAACTGTTTCAAGCAAGACAGAACCCAGAATTGTGCTATTCTTGCAGGACACCAGGGAGAATACCATTCTCCTAGCAGAAAAAAAATCCCAATGAATACTGATACTATTCAAATTCCATTTTATGTACTAGAATCAATTATGGTAACAGGGAACATGACATTATATATATGAAATCTGGCACAGATAATTTTTTCTGTTGGGATAGAGGTAGCAATCTTCTAGTAGAAAGTCCTAGACCATATGGCTGGCTCATTGGTGTACTAATGTACTTCTTTAGCCATCAAAAGAAGGCTACTGATGAGTTCAAGGAGAAATCAAAGTTGCTCAGGAATGTGAGCAAACCAATGAAAAGAACCTGCAGAAGGACCAGTGACATAATTCATGATATAACAGGACACATGAGTCTTATTCAATATGTGCTTCAAGTAGTCTCCCAGCATTTTTGCTCTGTTCTCAATCACATTGGGAAAAAAGATGCAATTTTACCAGACTCTAAACAGTCTATAAAGAACAAAATAAGTGGTTTCCAAGTTTTTCTTTCATTAATATCAGTTTGCTATTTGTTCTGTTTGCATCATGCATCAAAGTGTAAGAAAAATTTGCGATGAAGTAATAATCTAGGAAATTCTATTCATTATTATTTTTCTGTAGGTTGACAGAAGACAATCATTCTTTAATCTCTCTAGAATACTAGTACATAGCTTGAATATCATTCCATTAAAAGGGAACACTTTTTCGGACTTCCATGGTGGCGCAGTGGTTAAGAATCCGCCTGCCAATGTAGGGGACACGGGTTTGATCCCTGGTCCAGGAAGATCCCACATGCCGTGGAGCAGCTAAGCCCATGCGCCACAACTACTGAGCCTGGGCTCTAGAGCCCGCGAGCCACAACTACTAAAGCCTGCGCACCTACAGCCCGTGCTCCGCAACAAGAGAAGTCACGGCAATGAGAAGCAAGCACACCGCAATGAAGAGCAGCCCCTGCTCGCTGCAACTAGAGAAAGCCCGCGTGCAGCAACGAAGACCCAACGTAGTCAATAAATAAATAAATAAATAAGTAAATAAATAAATGGAAACACTTTTCCAAGGAAACAGAATACTTACTTCTTAAGGTGCATGACCACAGTAGGTAATAATGTTAATTTTTTCAGTGCTGGCTTTTTTTGATTATTCAACTGTCTGTCTTCCTATCCAGGAAGAAAAAGATTGAAAAAAAAAAAAGGAAAAAAGGGCAATTGTTAATAGTGAATTATAACCACTATAATTCTAAACTTTAAATATAATAAAGCAGCAATTTCTCTGAGACACTACAGTTTTTCCTACAAGAAAGAATAATTACATAAAGAATAGACTTTCTGCAGAGCCAAAACCCACAAAACTATTAGAATAACTAGTTTTAACAACTACAAATAGAGAGGAAAAATTTTAATTTAAAATATTGGCATAACTATCAAGTTTTCAGAGTTCATTCAAGGTACAAATTATACATGGAAGAATTTGGTTTATCATCAAGAATAATTTTGCAGCTATGGGGCCTGTAAGAAAGATAAAAGAATATGTTATTAAAGAAGAGTTTTAGTATTTGCTTGGGTATTTTTTCCCTAGTTTTTTTTTTTTTTTTGCCAGGCCACACAGCTTATGGGATCTTAGTTCCCCAACCAGAGATCGAACCCGGGCCCTCGGCAATGAGAGCGCAGAGTCCTAACTACTGGGTGACCAGGGAATTCCACCTACTTTTTTAATTATAGAAAATTTTAAACTCTACAGACATACAAAACAAAATAATACACTCCTGCCATGTACATTTCAACAATTACACACACATGGCCAGTCTTATTTAGCTGTCTCTCTAGCTACTTTTCCCTTCACCCTTGAATAATTTTGCAACAAATCCTAGACACACGTCATTGGATTATAAATACTTCAGCAAGTGCCTCTAAAAGAGCAGGACTTGTTTTTAAACATAATACTTGGGCAATTTTTACAATTTGAGCAGAATTTTTAAATGCAGTGAGTTAAATGCAATCATTTGATTAGAGACAAAAGAATGACACAGGTTTATAACATAATAAATATGAGTTTATAATTTTTTGTATGTGAAGAAACATCACTTTGTGGTAAACTAGCAGAATCTGAGAACAAGATCACTCCCCCATAAAACCAGCAAACCAATTCAGCTAAAAAGGCCCATTTTACTTAATACTTAGTCTTTTCACTTTTTTCCTAAAACACACTACTTAAAAATTAAAATTATTGGGGCTTCCCTGGTGGCGCAGTGGTTGAGAGTCCGCCTGCCGATGCAGGGGACACGGGTTCGTGCTCTGGTCCGGGAAGATCCCACATGCCGCGGAGCGGCTGGGCCCGTGAGCCATGGCTGCTAAGCCTGCGCGTCCGGAGCCTGTGCTCCACGACGGGAGACGCCACAACAGTAAGAGGCCCTCGTACCGAAAAAAAATAAATAAATAAAATAAAATTATTTCCATGCTTAAAATTTAGAACAGTAAATGCTTATTATAAAAAAAAAACAAAGTATTTTTAATGTAGTTTAAGCAAGGATTAAGTGTAAAAAAAAAAATGGCCGGAATTCCCTGGTGGTCCAATAGTTAAGATTCTGCACATTCCCTGCCAAGGGTCTGGGATCAATCGCTGGTAGGGGAACTAAGATCTCATAAGCTGCATGGCGAAAACAACAAAACAAAACAGGGACTTCCCTGGCAGTCGAGCAGTTAAGACTCCATGCTTCCAATGCAGGGGACGCAGGTACGATCCCTGGTCTGGGAACTAAGATCCCACATGCCTCGCAAACAAACAAAACAAAAAAGGCCACATAATCAATTATGTGGGAGAAAGAAAGATGAAGCTAGAAGTGACCTATCTCACCTCAGCAGCTTCATTCATCTTGACAATCATGGCGCTCACAACGTCGTCGGCATCACTAATAAAAGTACCACCATCACGGTTACGCCTGCGCTTGCCACTCATGCTCTTTTTCCGCTGCAACATCATCTCAAAGTCCGACAGAAAGTCCATGCTAAGCAGTAACCCAAAATTAAGTGAAATATAAATTCCCTTTTAAATATACGTTTTCTTTTATGACAGTTAAGAACCACCAACTTTCTTAATTCTAACTCAGTGAAGTGCTACTTTCTTTTAAAGTGCAAGTACTTTTAAAATTGCTTTTAAAAGAACAAGTGATCATAAATTTTATGCTCAACTTCCCAACGGTTACACATTAAATACTAATAGCCCTACACATTCATACACTATGTTCATGCTTACATGTGTTAGCCTGAAAAAGAACATTTCAAATTTCAAGTTTTGCCTGCCACTCCATGGTTCAGTTTTAGTTGCATTGCCTTTCTGCAGGGGGAAAGAGTGGTTTTCAATTATCTGAATATTTTTGTCTTATACAGAATAAGTAGGGGAAAAAAACCCGCTGTTTTTTTAGTGATAAGAAGTATAACTCTCAAAACATAATGTGACTGAGATAAAGATGGAGATCTACAAATCTGCTAAGAGCCTCAAAAAGACTTTGTAGCTTTCATCTGAATCTTTACACTTAACGAGGAGCTAATATGCTCTCTGCCTCTATCATATAAATAAAATGATATGGTTTATAATTTAATTTCCAAAGGTACTGCCAAACTCATTCAGCTTAATTCTTGCATGTCACTAGGAATTAAAGCATCATCTTTATAAACAGTAACTAACAAATCATTCTATGTTTGTCACCTTTCATGACACTAGATTCTTCTGAACATAGATTCCAACCATCTCAACAAAACTATGTGAAATACAATCAAGGAATATTTTGTATCTAAAACATCCCCCCTGGGACCCCCAAATCAGCTTTCTCTCTCTCTCAAAAAAAAAGTTTTTATTAGGCTATTTTTCAGAAGAACTTACTTGGTGAGATATAAATTAAAAGCCTGGCAACCATATAGCCCCACAAATTAAGACAGCTGAGCACAGGGCAAATGACAGAAAAATAACAACAGCAAATAATTTTTGGACAGCACTGTATACAGAGAAGTAGATGGGAGAACAAAAATGGAAGATTCTTTCCTACACTTAATCAGGAACCAAAATAAGAAAAACAAAGTTCATTAGTCTCTACCTTCATTTTTAAAGTTCTCTTTAATAAAGTCCTTTTTTAAAAAATAAAACAAACTTACTGTTTTCCTCTCTTTATGTTATCATCAGAATCTGAATCTTCTGCTTCTTTTACCTGCGTTTCACTTTTTTCTTCTTCCAAATCTTCTTGGTTAAAACCCTAAAGGAAGGGTAAGTTAGCTGGAGTTACCGCAACCTCATTCCAGACTCTCTTCTATGTAACTGCTCTTAATTTTTTGCATTTTTAAAGTAATACATTCATAAAGAATAAAAATTAAGAAGATATCAAAAGACATATAGCAAAAAAACCTCCCTCCCACCCTAGCCCTTAGTGTTATTAGTTTTCTTGTCTCCTTCTTCATTTTTAAGGCTTTAGATGATCTCACCAAATAACTGCAACCATAATTTAAACATTTCCCTGATATTTAGGTATGTGTATTTGAAATTTTGAGAAACATCTGCAAACTGTCTTCATAGAGGTTACACCAAATTAACTCTCCTTCCAGGAAAGCACAAATTTACCTGTTTCCTCACCTTCCCACTACTACGGCAGGTTATCAAGCATTAATATTTGCAATCTCTGGACTGAAAAAAACAAAAGGCATCTCTGTAGCTTTCTTTGCATCCTCTTATTATGAGTAAAGCTGGGCATTTCTCATGTTTCAAAGCCATCTGTTGCTATTTCTCTGTGAACTCTCAATATCCTATGGCCAGTTTTCCATTGGATCTTTGTCTTATTGGTATGGAAAATCTCTTTAAAAATTAGGGAAATTAGACCTTGCTACATGACGGGAACTGCACAATCCTGACATCTGTACAGTTTGGTTTTGTTTATGGTAATGTTTTCTGGGTATAATTTTTAATTTTTTATGTAATTTAAATGGTCAGTCTTCTCTTTATAGCTTCCAACTTTCATGTTATACTTAGAAAAGCCTCCCCAATGGTTCCCCTAGTATGCTGTTTTCTGCACTGAACTGAACCCCTAATCAAGTTGATGTCCACTCTCCACACTAGAGAAACATATCTTATGCTTGTAAAATGTTGCTTAACTGAGTATAAGCCCCATGAGGGCAATGTCCAAACAATCTCTGGCATACAAGCTCTCGAATATCTGTTGAATGAATTCTTCTCTATTTTCTTTAGGTTTATTTACTATTTTTCTACCATCTTGAATTAGACTCTAAATTCATCTACTTTCATCCTCTCTTGCTTTAGTAATGAAAGTACTGACTTTTTTTTTAACACAAGAACTATTTAACAAGTAAGTTTTAAATTTGGGGGTGGCAAGGGTGCTTTTATGTGCTAATTTTGTTACTAATTTTTAATTTCATTGCATTCAGAAAATGTTGTCTATAGTTTGTACATTTTGCAAAAGCTTGATTTAAATTTTATATGGAAATACAAAGAACCAAGAAAAGCCAAGACAATCTTAGAGAATAACAACCTGAAAGGACATAAATAACCAAATATCAAGGGTTATGCATTAATGGTGCAAGGATAGACCAATGGAACAGAAAAGATACTTCAGAAACAGATTAGAAAATATATACATACTCGATTTATGACAAAGATGGCAGAATAGTGGAAAAGGATAGTCTGGTTCAACTAGATACTACAAACGGGGGGCGGAAATCTTGACTATCTCATATATACTGCACACAAAAGCCCATTCCAGGTGGACAATATAACTAAATGAAAAAGATAAAATAATCAAGCTTCGAAAGAATAACTCAGGAGAATATTTTTATAACCTTGGGGATAGGCAAAAATTTCTTACAATTCAAAAAACTTTCAACATAAACGAAAAGACTGGTAAAGTTGATTTACACTAAAATTAAGAACTTTTGCTCATCAAAGACTCCATTTAAAAAGTGAAAATGCAAGCCACTGAACAGAAGATATTTTTATCTTTTATAATCTCCAAAGGGCTTATATCTGGATTATATAAAAAGAGACACTTCTCTTTTCTATCTTTCCTGGTTTTTTGGTCTTGATTATTCCATTGTTTACATTCCACTTAGATTACAGATCTGTTCATTCTCTTTGCAGTTCTGTCAATTTTTGTTTTGCTTATACATATTTAAAGCCATATTACTAGGTACACGGCTAGGTACAATTTTAAACCCTTTTTTCAATATAAAGGGACCCTCTTTATCTCGAACAATGGTTTTTGCCTTAAAGTCTACGTCGTTGATATTCATATAAGCTACACCAGTTTTCTTTTGGCTAGTGTTCGGAGAGAGTACCTTTTTCCATCCTTTTATTTTCAACTCTATCTTCTGTTTCAGATGAATTTCAAAATTAGTATATAGCTGGTTTTTAAAATCCAGTCTTTAATTTGTCCTTTAATTGGAGCACTTAATATATTTCAGTGTGATTTCTGATATTATCAAAGTTTATATCTGCTATCTTACTATGTACTACTTTCTAAATGTCCCCGTTCTATATTTCTTTTTCTCTTTTCTTGCTTTCTTTTGGATTGACTAGCTTCTATTATTTCATTCTTCCCTCTCTATTAGGTTGGAAGTTACACATTCCATTAGTCTTTTTAGAGATTACAATGCACATCCTAACTTACCAAAGACTACTAATGTACTTTTACATACATTTGCAAAGACCTGTGAACATTTCAATTCCATGTAAACACCCAATCTGTCACTGCCATCATGTTTTAATTTCATATGCATTTTAAACCACACCAGACGTGACTCTGTTTTGGATGGTCATTACACATTTAGACCTAGCCACACGCTTTTGTTGCTCTTTTTCCCTTCCTGCATCCTTGACCTTCCACCTGAGATTTTCTTTCTGCCTTTAGTATTTCCTTCAGTTGGCATTTTGGTAAGATGAAGTAAGCAGGGAATCTTCATTCCTGAAAAGAATTTTTACTGAATATAAAAGAACTTTTAAGTTTGCAGTTATTGGATTCTATTACTTCTGTTGAGAAGTTAGCTATTAAAATAACAGTTGCCTCTCTGAATGTAATATCTTTTCCCCTTTGGCTGCTTTAAAGACTTTCCTGTTTTCTTTGGTTTCTTGCAATTTTCCTGTGGTGTATTGGGTTGGCCAAAAAGTTCATTCAGGTTTTTCCGTAAGATGTTACAGAAAGGGACTTCCCTGGTGGTCCACTGGTTATGACTCCACGCTCCCAATGCAGGGGGCCCGGGTTCGATCCCTGGTCAGGCAACTAGATCCCACATGCATGCCGCAACTGAGAGTCCGCGTGCCGCAACTAAACATCCTGCATACCACAACTAAAGTTCCCGCGTGCCGCCACTAAGACCCAGCCCAGCCAAATAAATTAATTAATTTTAAAAAAAGTTACGGGCTTCTCTGGTGGTGCAGTGGTTGGGAGCCCGCCTGCCGGTGTGGGGGATACGGGTACGGGGCCTGGTCCAGGAAGATCCCATGTGCCGCAGGGCAGCTGGGCCTGGGTACCACAGCTATTAGGTCTGCATTCTGGAGCCCGCGGGCCACAACTGCTGGTCCCGTGTGCCGCAGCTGCTGGGGCCCGCGCGCCTGGAGCCCATGCTCCGCGGCGGGAGAGGCCACCACAGTGAGAGGCCCCACGCCTCAGCAAAGAGTGGTCCCCGCTTGCTGCAATGGGGAGAGGGCCCGTGCGCAGCAGTGGGGACCCAGTGCAACCAGAAGTAAATAATAATTAATTTTTTTTTAAAAAGTTACAGAAAACCCGAACGAACTTTTTGGCCAACCCAATATTTAAGTGTAGATTGCTTTGTTTTTATCCTGCTTGCAATTTGTAGAACTTCTAGACTCTATGGCTTTATGAATCATTTCTTTAAATATTGTTTCTGATATATATATATATATATATATATATATATACATATACATTTCCTCCCCTCTCCTTCTGGGATTCCAAGTCACTTTGTTAAACCTTCTCATGCATAATTTATGTCTTATTTTTTACATTTTCCACACTAATATCAATGCTTCATTCTACATAGTTCCTTCTATTTATTTATTTAGTTAGTTAGTTGTGGCAGGTCTTGGTTGCAGCAGGCGGGCTCCTTAGTTCCTTCTATTTATTTATTTATTTAGTTGCAGCAGGTGGGCTCCTTAGTTGTGGCATGCATACTCTTAGTTGTGGCATGCACATGGGATCTAGTTCCCTGACCAGGGATTGAAACTGGGCCCTCTGCATTGGGAACGCAGAGTCTTAACCATGGTGCCACCAGGGAACTCCCTCTACGTAGTTCCTTCTAACTTACCTTCCAGTTCACTCATTTTCTTTTCAAATACGTCTAATCTGTTGTTAAACTCATTCACCAAGTTTTTAATTTCAGTTACTGTATTTTCAAAGTTCCAGAATTTCTACTTGGTTCTTTTTCAGGTATTTTAAAAAAACTGTTTGCTCTAAGAAACTTTTCAATCCTTTACCTTGCTAAACATATATATATTAAAGGCAATATCTAAAATTCCTATATCTAGAGCCCCTAGGTCTATTTCTGTTATCTGCTGTTACTATTCTTTTTAAATGTTACAGATAAGTGTGTACTGTGTATTTGAAAAACTACAGAAATAACTGGAGGTCTGTGATGATGTTACTTTTGTCCTGAAAGGATTTGTTTGCATATGTCAGGTGGCTGAGAGCCAGCCAATGGTTTAAGAATCACTGCAATCAAACTTCTGAGACTTAGGGAGGGTGACGGAAGAGGGAAGAGATATGGGAACATACGTATATATATAACTGATTCACTTTGTTATAAAGCAGAAACTAACACACCATTGTAAAGCAATTATACTCCAATAAAGATGTTAAAAAAAAAAAACAAAAAAACTTCTGAGACTGAGGTTCTCTATGTTGCTAGATGACTCAAAGATGGCCTAAGATCTGAGCAAAGGCTATTCTAACTTCCAGTTCACCCTTAATCCTAGCAGTCTCAATCCAGAGCATGGGGTTTTCAGGGTCCTCTAACCTCAGCAGGCCCCGACCTTCCAGTTTTCTCTCTTAAGCCTTGAGGCAATCAAAAATAAATTTAGCCTCTCAGCTTGAGTAGATGAACATCCCAGAAAAAGCAGTTCTAAATGCTGAGCTTACCTCTTTAGGTTTCTATCTTTTGCTGGTTTTTGGCTTAGTAATTCTTTGTTACTTAGTTCTTATGATGATGAGCAGATTTTTTAAACATTTCGTCTAGCTTCTGTAGTTGTCCTTAGCAGAAGGGCTGGTCCAAATTACCTCACGTGCCATTGCTATCATCAGAAGCTCCGTAACTGCTGTGATTCTTTCTCTTTAGCATTATAAAGCGCGTTTCATTGTCTCTTAATGTGTTCCTTCCTCCCTTTAATTCAATTTTGCCCGTTATTTTCCTTTTATGTCTTTGTAGACCCCTTTATTTCACTTTCTGAATACCTTTGTTCTAGATTTTTCTACTGGATACATCATAGCTATTTATTTCTACTTATTGGAATCTCCTACTAGACACCCACTGCCATAAAAACAAAAAAAGCATAGCATAATCAAAGAGGAAATCTTTCCGTCTAATACTTACTGTAAATTCTTCCTCCTCCTCATCACCAGATTCTCCAAATATGTCTGCAATAAGATTTCTAGAAAATATAAAAAACTTTCATTTGCTTTCTTCTCATTTGCATAGGAATCAAAATATTTTTCTAATAGGGTATAATTTAATAACAGTAAAACATGCAGATCTCAAGTGTCCATCTCAATGGGTTTTGACACATTCACGTAACCCTTACCCTAACAGAACAGTTCCATCTCCCCAGAAAGTTCCCTTGTGGCCCTTTCTAGTCAGTCCCCCCTATCAACATCCCAGAGGCAACCACCACTCTGATTTCCACCACCACAGATTAGTTTTGCCTGTTCCTGAACCTCACATAAGTGGAATCAGATAACATGTCCTCTTTACTTCTTTCACTTAAAATAATATTTTTGAGGTTCATCCATGTTGTAGCATGCAGCAATAGTTCAGGACCTAAAATCCTGAATGCCCCAAGGTCATGAAATTAGGCAGGGTATACTGTATTACACCTCAACACGGAATTTTAATACAAGTTTAAAAACCCTGAAAGACAAACCCCTCTCTACCGCCTTGTATGAACCCTGGGAAGTTCAGGTTACACTGCCACTTACTCTTCTTCATTCCCTGACTCACTATCACTCCCAAACAGGTCCTTCTCTTCATTTTTCTTATCAGACAATTCTCTCCCTGCTTCTTCTTCACTGTCAGATGCTATCGTCTTCTCTCTTTTGCCTGATTTGTCTGACATAACATCACTGTCAGAGTCATCTGCATCAGAGACAACACGACTCTTCTTTGCTGCTGTTGAAAAAAAAATCATCATTAATCTTACTCCATCACAGTCACTGTATTACTAAGTACAACAGGTGCTCTAAAATGTCAGTACGTGGCCAAAACCAAAGGCCTCATGACACACTGTTTAGAATAAAAAATAAATAAATAGCTAAAAGATGCAGAGTCATCTTACAATTATCTGCTATATAGGAAAAAGTGGCCAAAAGATGAAGACTGGCATCAATAGCTACCTTTCCTCTGGGGGAACAGAGAAAATAAGAGTAGAATCCCTTCTATGCTGCCTAATATTAGCAGAACTCTGAAGGCTTGGATATTCTTTTGTGGAATCCCCATGTTCCTCAGTCATCCATCACTGCTCAATCTGGAATTTCTCATCTACCTTAGTAAACTGCACATGTGGTGCTCTTTTCCCTTCTCCTTTAACAACTGTCGGGTTATAAAGAAATGCCTTTTCCCAAAAAGATGTTTCATAAAAAAGTAATCAAGTAGTAAAGATTGGAATATTTTGTGGAGACATGGAGTCTCTAAATAGAGTCCCTCGGAAACTTCCTTGAATTTGGGCATTCAACAATGTTTAACAACTGAAGACAGGTACCCATGGGAGCTCAGTCACTGTCTAGATGGGATGTAGTGCATTAGCTGTCAAAGAGACCACAGTTAACTCTGGATAAGGTTGGGTTTTCATGTAAAAGTATTCTTTTGAAACATTACCCTTTCCAGTAAAAAAAAAAAAAAAAAAGGACTTCCCTGGTGGTCCAGTGGTAAAGAATCCGCCTTACAATGCAGGGGAAGTGGGTTTGATCCCTAGTCAGGAAACTAAGATCCCACACGGGGCGACTAAGCCCTCATGCCACAACTACTGAGCTCGCAAACCTCAACTAGAGCCCGCATGCTGCAAACTACAGAGCCCATGCACTCTGGAGCCCACGCACCCTGGAGTCTGTGCGTCACAACTAGGGAGAGAAAATCTGCAAGCCACAACTAGAGAGAAGCCCGCGGACAACGAAGAGCCTGCGAGCTGCACGAAAGATCCCACACGCCGCAACTAAGACCTGATGCAGCCAAAAATAAATAAATAAAAAATCTTTTAAAAAATTTATATTTTCATAGAAATCTTTCATATTGCCATTGCAATGCAGTCTAGTTTATCATTTCGAGGCAGTCAGAACTTAACAAATGCTGCTAGAACAACAAAGGAAATTTAATATTAAGACTTGCCAATGAGGGAAATCCCTGGTGGTCCAGTGGTTAGAACTCCAAGCTTTCACTGCCAACCTCATGAGTTCAATCCCTGGTGGGGGAACTAAGATTCCACAAGCCACATGGTGCAGCCAAAAACACCAAAACAAAAAACAAAACAAAACAAAAAACCGAAACACTTGCCAATGAAAACCAGTGTCCTGGTGATATTTTAGAACATCAAGTTGCATAAGAGAATACAGACCTAACATTCCAGGAAAAGAAACAATGCTTCATAGTTATAAGCTTAGACAACAAGTAGAGCTATGGAGGGACTTCCCTGGTGGTCCAGTGGTGGAGAATTTGCCTTCCAATGCAGGGGACACAGGGTCAATTCCTGATTAGGGAACTAAGATCCCACATGCCATGGGGAAACCAAGCCCACGTGCCGCAACTACTGAGCCCGTGTGCTATGGAGCCCGTGTCCCACAACTAGAGAGCCCGTGTGCCTCAACTAAGACCCGATGCAGCCAAATAAATAAATAAAAGTAAAGCTAAGGATAAACAGCCCAAAATAGTCCCTTACATGCTTTCTCTTCATCGTCACTATCAGAAAGCACAGCAGCTTTCCGCTTTGCTACTTTCTCCTCCACCCCCTCTTTTTCTTCATCCTCATCGCTGTCAATTTTGGGCCTTTTTGGTTCTTCCTCCTCGCTGTCAGAACTGTTGAACCGCTTCCTGTCTACATGGGCATCTGAATGAAAGGGGTCAGCCTGCATTTCTGTGTCCTCTCTCTTATTCTCCCCGTCACTGTCCTCATCAGACTCCGGCTTCTGTCTGTGTCTGGGGGCAGCCTCAGCTTCTGAATCGCTGGCAGGCCCCTTCTGAGGCTCCTCGCTCTCAGAGTCACTGGCTTGGGGCTTGGGAAGCTCCTCATTTTCAGAATCACTGGCTTGGTGCCTTGGCGGGTCCTCGCTTTCCGAATCGCTAATTCGGGGTTTGGGAAGCTCCTCGTTTTCCGAGTCACTGGCTTGGTGCCTTGGGGGGTCCTCGCTTTCCGAATCACTGATACGGGGTTTGGGAAGCTCTTCATTTTCCGAGTCGCTGGCTTGCTGCCTTGGCGGGTCCTCGCTTTCTGAGTCACTGATCCGAGGCTTGGGCAGCTCCTCGCTTTCAGAGTCACTAACTCGAGGCTTGGGAAGCTCCTCATTTTCCGAGTCACTGGCTGGGTGTCTTGGGGGCTCCTCGCTCTCAGAGTCACTGACTTGGGGTTTTAGAGCATCCTCTGTTTCCGAGTAACTGGCAGGACTTTTGGGGAGCTCTTCGACCTCTGAATCGCTGGCAGGGGGCTTCCTAACATCCTCATTTTCGGAGTCGCTTGCGTGCCCATTAAGCAGCTCCTCGTTTTCAGAGTCGCTCACAGGTAACTTCCTGGGCTCCTCATTCTCAGAGTCGCTCCCATGGTGATTGGCATCCTCGTTTTCAGAATCACTCGCAGGAGGCTCTGCATGCCCCTCAAATTCAGAGTCGCTGTCCTTTTGCCTTTGAAGCTCCTCACTTTCAGAGTCACTGGCATTAAGATTTGAGGGGTCATCGTTCTCAGAGTCTGTCACATGATGTCTTTTGTTGAGACCATCTTCTCGATCACTAGGTTCATTCTGAAAAATCAAGGGAGAAAAAATTAGGAAAGTGCGAAAAAAGCTTTGGTAGTAAAAATGTTAAAAATTTTCAGCTTAAAAAAAAAAGCAGGAATACGCATGCTTAAATGTAGAATTCTCATCCTATACGTATATAGAAACATCTCACTTTTAAAAAGGCCATTCATCTGTGAAATGGTAGCATGGTGTAGATCCCAAAATGAGGAACGATAACCTGCCTTCATGAATCTGTAAAGCACAGACCCCCAGATTACTCTACGGTACCTTATACTTTGAAAAGCTAGATTAAACAACAACAAAAAATAAACCTTAACTTTCTCATATAATTCTAGCTCCTAAATATATTCTTTAAGTACATACAAGCAAACATGTACCCAAGTTCTCTTAAAAAAGGAACATTCTTGGGTTTTATAACGTTAACGTTCTTTTAAGGAAGAGAACTATAAAACTTTACTTTATTTAAAGGGCCAAATTATACTTGGGGCACATTCTCCCAAGTGAATCTGAACAAATAAGGAGAGGAGCAGAGGAGCAATTAACAGAGCCAAATACCATGTTAGGGTCTCTCCTGCTAGTTTACTCCTCACGAGAGTATTTTTCATGATAAGAAAACTGAGGCTTACAGCAGTCTTGGGACATATATCCAGTAACCCTGGCACAAAAGTTTAAGTTTTAGGGAAAACACTGACTAATCTAGCTATACTAACAAATAATGTCATATGAAGTAATCTGAAAACTCTAGGGTACAAATTTGATATTATAGCTATGTTTTTTAAATGCAGAGAAAAATATATAAAACTAAACATACCAAAATACTAATAACTAGAATGTGGGGAATTTTTTCCCTTCTATAATAGTATCTTTACTTTCAGTAACATGGTAATTAATATTCCGGCTTAAAAAGTAAAGTACTTCTGTGTTTGGGTTTTCCCCCTTAAAAGTTTACTGAGCCAAATTTTTTTTTTTTTTTTTTTTTTTGCAGTACGCGGGCCTCTCACTGTTGTGGCCTCTCCCCTTGCGGAGCACAGGCTCCGGACGCGCAGGCTCAGCGGCCATGGCTCACGGGCCCAGCCGCTCCGCGGCACGTGGGATCTTCCCGGACAGGGGCACGAACCCTTGTCCCCTGCATCAGCAGGCGTACTCTCAACCACTGCGCCACGAGGGAAGCCCTGAGCCAAATATTTTTCTTTAGAATATATGACGGACATTTCCTGAACTTACCACAGATCAATTTTCAAGGAACAAAGAGCCTTTAATAAAGTATATGCCCACCATATCACGCAATGAAATAATTAAGCAGTAAGAGAATATACAGTGACAAGATAAAAGGCATTAAAATGTTTTCACAAAACCCACACTTTAACTTGCTTCGGGCTCATTTAAAGAAGATTAAGTATGTTGTGTCTACAACTTCAGAAAGAGTACAAAAAATTACAAAATAAGCTTATAAAATATGTTTGAGGGTTTTTCCCCTCCATATTTCATTGCCATCTTGATAGCACAGAGTTCCAAAGATACAGTAACTGCTATACATATTCATTCAAGTATAACACATTCAGGAAACTTTCTAAAATAATAAGCTTTCAAATTTCCCAAAGATATTTTTCTTTTATTATCACGGGACACTCACAGCATAGCACTGGATTCCCTGTCAGTCATACATCCTACTACCCCAATGAAACTGGCATTTATCTATTAAATTAGGACAGGAGAAATAACATAGAACCTTTTGATACAGTACAAGATATAGTATTCTATATATTGCTAGAAGCTTACTCTTGGCCATACTTCAGAATTTAATTCTTTTATATTTTAAAAGAATATAGATGAAAAAATTAACTATCCAGAATGTAAGCCCTAAGAAGGCAGGCATTTTTTGGTCTGTTTTCCTCACTGAGAAGGCACACTCTGTGCTTCAGAGCACAGAATGGTGTCTGGTATATACAAAATCACAGTAAATTCTTACTAAGTAATTACTTACTTACCTACTTACTTACTTACTTACTGTGTAAGAAAGTAATTACTTTTCTCATTTAATAAAAAGAGTTAAATGAGAATAATTTAAAGTGAGGAATAATTAACTCAACAAGTATTTGCTTAATGTCTACTACGTGCAAGGTGCTAGGAATCAAGGCTGAACATGTCTCAGTGCCTGACCTTAAGGAAATGTTGTCTAATGAGCCAGCCAAATATACCATAACAATACAGTATAACATGCACTGTTACGAAGGTATGTGTGACATTCTGAAAGCCTACCGGAAGTGATCTATATGAGACTAAGCTATAAAAGGTGTGTAGACAACAGGTATTGGGAATTAGTTTGTGATGACTGAATTAAGAAGTTAACTGCATTACTGAGGGCAGAAGACGAAACATACAGGTACCAGCAGAGGCAACTAAAGCAGGAGGCAAAAGGGGAAATTGTTAACTGGCTTTCGGAATGCTTTCCATGGCATACACATGACATAACTCTAACAACATATTCGTGTGTGACTCAGCTGCAAACAACAGAAATCATCTCAGGCTAGCTCCAGAAAAAAAGAACAATCTTTCCAGAATCAGAGTGGAATAAATGGCTAAAGGCTCAAGAAGGGTAGGAACCAAGGCAGCTCAGAAGCTTAGGAAAGGAAACTCAAGGACCTTTCACTAGAGCACTATCAATAACATGACTCAGCTCTCACGTTGCTAAATTTCAGTGTCCAGGATCTAAATTTTAAATTCCCAGGAGACATAATCTAACGGGCCACGGCAACAGAGGTTGTCGTTACTCTGTGACTCAATGCCAGAGCAGGGGCACAGCACTGGGAGCCACTCCCAAAGAAAGGAGAGATACCATGAACTGAGTAGTCTTCCCAAAACTTATCTGTTACACTCTACCCTGGACTTCCCAACACATGGTGTATGCATTCCAAACAAGCAACCATTACAAGGACATTACATGTAATTCATGATTGTGAAACTTATGAATTCCCATCAATTTTTGAGGAGTCTCATAAAATCCTGAGTATCTATCCATTATGTGTGGCACAGTGGGGAAAACGTGGGAAATCACTGCAGTAAGAAAGTACTGGTCGACAGACTCAAGTTAAAGAAGGCAGTTAGGTGAAGACATCATAGGATTTGGGAAAAGAGTTAAGCTTAAAAGTTATCAAAACACTACTCAAAAATTTTAGACTGGTTTCAGCAATTAGTCTAAATTGCAAACTTAAAAAAAATCCAAAATACAGTTTTTAAAAAGTCAAACATGAGTACAACAAATCAATAGTAGAAGCTGCCATTTAAATGCTATTTCTTAATAATATTTTTAAAAATCCCTAATTTTACCTGTCAGAGAAATTAAGCACTCTAAGTGTCCTCAGAGGCTTTAGAAATGTCTATAATGCCTCACACTTCCCTCTTATGATCATTTACATTGTAGTTATAAATAACTTCTGGTTACCCATAATGAATGATCTGATCGTTTATCTCAGCAATCAAACAGTAACACACTCTTTATGACCAGTGCCATAATACACATGCACAGAGATAATTAACATTTTTAAATTACAAAATAAATAAATAAAACATGCACAGAGATAATTAACATTTTTAAATTACAAAATACAAAATAAAACTGCTGTAAAGGCAAACATCAATTTGTAAATTACAAAGTAGTATAAGAATGTCAAATAGGAGTCCTTGTAAAGAACCAAACAACTCAGGACACCTGTTTCCAGTAAAAGAAACTCAAAACTGTTGAACTTGCATTCCAACCGTCCATCATAAATTGGTACAACATTCAACACCAAGTCACACAGTAAATTCCATGAAGAAATATGTATAGGAGCATTTTCAAAAACATGTTTTACTGGACCTTAGTTCCAGAAGATATATTTGAAATCCTCGTCTTGGAGTTTGTCAATACATATCATCTTAAAAGCATAAGGAAGAATCTGGGAAATCCAGTTTTTACTACACAATGCTGTTAATCCAGGGTAGGTCCTGGAATGCTGCAAGGCTTTGAGAAACTCTGAGAAACTCCAGCTTTACAGTAAGCACACACACACACAACAAAATGAAGATGTATACCAGTGCCCTTTGTTGATCTTAGAGCTGGTTGATCTTAGAATCAGTCAAAAACAGAAGCACTCCTGATGAGTACTAGAAAAAGAAAATGTCTACACAAAGCCTAAGAGTTTATAATGGGGACTTCCCCGGGGATGCAGTGGTTAAGAATCCACCTGCCAATGCAGGGGCCACGAGTTCCATCCCTTGTCCGCGAAGATCCCATGGGCCGCGGAGCAACTAAGCCCATGCGTCACAACTACTAAGCTTGCGCTCTAGAGCCCGCGCACCGCAACGAAGAGTAACCCCTGCTCACCACAACTAGAGAAAGCCCGTGTGCAGCAAGGAAAACCCAACGCAGCCATAAATAAATAAATAATTTCTGAGAAAAGTTTATAATGATGAAGCAAACTCCTGCCTACCTCTCCAGACTCATTTCTGCCCTCTCACCACCATCAACCCTATGTGCTGCAGCAGCAGTTCCCAAACTTTTGCATAAGAATAACTTGGGGAGCTTTGGAGGAAAACATACAGATTTTTGTGCTTCTCACCTCCAGATATTAATACAGTCAGTTTGGGGAAGAGGTCAAAGAATCTGCATTTTGACATCTAATCCAAGTGATTCTAACCACACATTATAATTTTACTGCAGACACATGGAACCACTAACTTCACTGTTACCTCCATGCTTTTACCTCACTTTGTCCTTTTCATACCTCAACACTAGGCAAAAATACCCCCTTCCTGAAGCCTCTTCCATCCTCCTCTCTAGGTAGAATGGACTCTGCCCCATATAATGTGACAGTTCACAACGTGGACTTTAGTGTCGGTAAGACCTGGGGTCCAAACCCTAGCTCGCAGCCACCTTCTACTGTGTAATCTAGGGAAATTTTCTTAACTTCTCAAAACCTCAATTCCTCAATATGACAGAGTCAGAAATAGTTTCTATAACTTAG